GTATATATGAGCTTCACAGATTTACGTCGACTCTGATGAGCTAACGCCCAGAAAGCGTGTAAACACCGGTCTCAATAATGTGTCAAGATAGATCTTTTACAAAACCCAAGTTTTCGATTTCGATACAACTATTAACATTTGATAAAATTGCTGTTAAGTTCGTTTGTAATAACGTTTCCGCGTAATATTGGTTTACTAAATTTCGGGCATATTTTAGGATAACCGAAGTATTTCATGTTTCGGTCCAACCGATAACGTTTTAATGGATTGCAAACTATTCGAACTATTGAGCCAAACATGTTTCAATTTACATATTTTGGATGTTAAAACATCATTAATTCAACTAACCGTTGATTTTAACAAAATAGAGCACTATTTGTTTATCGAATGGAATAATGGGATGCATATTTATAATTAGACCTATTAAAAAACATCGTTTTAGTAATAAATACTAAAGTAAATACAAAAAAATTTAATCCAACTCAAGAAGTTTTAAATGAATCTAAAAAAGGTACTTTTTGTTGTAGATTATCTCTTGCCGTAGAGATTAAATTACAAGCAAAATAATATTCTCAACCTTAATGGTACTTCCGCTATCTTTTAACGCTTTATGAGACATAATATGACCACTTTTTCAACCTATACGACCTGCGCGATAATGTAATGTGTACACTTTATTTATGGTATAAATGTGTGGTAAAATTTAAAAAATTCACAATTTTAATTATTTATGCAACATAAACGCGATTTATGTAAAAACATTGTGATAAAATAGAGTAGGTAAAAATAACAGAATGTTAATGTTTTTTTAATTATCTTTGCTATGATTTTAGAAATATAAGCAATTTTATGTGCAGTGTAAAAAATAACAACTTAAAACAAAAAGATTATTTTAAAATAATGAAAAAGGAAATACTTTAATTTAATTTAAAACAATCAAATCTATATGCAATTCAACATACTTTATTGGCAATAATAGTCTATGAATTGATAGATTTCTCAGGAATTCTCGGTCAATAACAAATTTGCATCCTCTTCCAAGAAGAGATTTGTACGGGAGTTCCGATCAAAATTTGAATCTCTGGTGATATTTTGCAATTATTTTTCCTTTTACTTTTACTTTTTTTATCTTACCAATAATTTCTCTCCTATTTTCCAAAAAATGAATAGGTACTACCTATTCTTGGATATTTTTTTGTCGTTGTAAATTTGTTATCTCAACAATTGGATAAAATAAAAACAATTGTCCTAAAATGAGACCAGATAAAAAAAACATCTCATAATACCCTGAACTCTGCATTGGTCTCTAAAGTCTTAGGAGCTCTTAATTTCATCCCATCTGATTTTTCCTCAGATAAAAGAACTCAGAGATTGAACTCAGGGTCTTTACTTTTTCTTCTTTTCACATACCCTTAGTCATTATTGGACGGATTTTGTATATCCGTACTTTACTATCGATTACGCATGAATTGAGATTTTCAAGTAAGCAAATGTTATGACGTGATCGATGGGTTTGACTCTCAGCATACATCTTGTTGGATCACTTGCTACCACCATGCATTTAACTTTTGAAGTAGAGACTTATAAAACTTATCACTTCCTCGATTACTTTGTCCATTAATAAGTTGAATAAAAATGGGCTGAGATTGTCGCCTTGTCGGATGCCACGTGGTATGAGGATGTCTTCTTATAGTTATTCTCTGGCCATTACTGTACTTGAGGTTACTTGCTCCTATAAGCAATCTCATGGATGTGTTTAGAAGAACTCTTCCTCCATAATTGTATATCCTAGTTTATTCGTCTTTTATGGTATAGAAATTGTTATACTATATAATTGTTATTCTGGGCCGTTTTTTCTGTTAATTCTCTTCCTTCATATTTGAGCAATTCTTTGTTGTCTCAAAGTTCTTCTTTGAGTTCTATCTGGATAATATACTTTTCTTCATGTACACTAACATGTATTGCCTATGAGATAGCTGTTTAAGTATCACCTCATTAGAATTGTATTCAAATTCATTGCAGAACTCAGTTCATAATATGAACAACTCATATCTATGATCAGTATAAACAACACTCAGATAAAAATAAAACTAAAATATTCCAGGATTAGTCATGCTGTTTAATCTAATAAAATACTGCCATATTGAAATCTTCTTCAAAAATATTTTTTAACTTATTTTAGGGTATAACTGCATGTCTATTAAAACGTTAACGTCACCCACTATTTTTGTGATTCCACTCGTAAACCCGGAAGATTCTTGTATTTGTATTTCTAATAATACCGGTCATGTAAGCGACTTCGAAATTATGGAGACTATCCATCTTGTTGACACAGATTGATAACATTGTAGTAATTGGAATAAAGAGAAACGTCTAAATTGTGATACGCCACCCGGAGCAGTGTCTTGAATATAAAGGGATTGGCAGGAATAAATTGGACAACTAATAATTTCTTACAAACTTTCAAGTTGCTTATACTTCTTGATATTGCCATGTTAGCCTCCTATTTTGCAAAAAATTGTGTGGATCGTTATTTTGCGATCAATTATGCATAATAGAGGTAAAATTTCTGATGATGACAAGAAGAATTATTGATTACCATAGAACTGAGTCTGGTGTCGGTGCTACCATCTTTTTCGAACCAATACTGTCAAAAGGCAATTAAGAAAATGGCCAGTAGTTTTATCTAAATGAAGACCTAAAGCTAAAAAAGTTATATATTATATATATATATATATATATATATATTTCTCAACTTCACCCGCAATGTTATTTTCATCAACCTGTGTATATAAACATGATAACTCGAATATGCAAGCAGTTACGCTGATGATAGCTTAGTTGTGACTAATTGAGAATTTATTTTAATATCGTTTTTGTCAAATACTAGATTCGACTTCAGTAGATTTGTTCTAGTTGACAATTTATACAAAAAGTTTAAAAAAATGTATTCAAAAGAAATTCATTATTATAGAGATTTCGAATAAGATAAAAATTAGATATGTTATGACAAAGTTATTTTAGCACCCAGAGAAATTTCTTTTTTAATACTCAAATTGAAACTATTATATTTCTTTTAAACAATAATTACGTGTTATATCATTTATAGAAATCGATAAACATTTATTAAAAACTGTTGCTTACGTCAATGAATAATCTCTAATTTCAGATTCGAATTAAAACGTTTAATAATTAATAAATTTATAAGAAAGTTTATCAAAGAAATTACTTACGTAAAAGCGGTATTGAAACCACAACAAATGTTTCTTTACGTTTGTCATTCTTTGAAAGAGTTCTCCGCATTTAAACAAACTTAAAATTTCTTAGAAAACACGTAATCAGCATTACCAAAATGTAATTATCATTAATTTCCTTTCACTTCAAAATTTAAGCTAGCACCTCTACTTTTAGTACTTTTATACATTTAACTTTAAAATATTAAAATTCCAATTGACACAAATTTTCCGCTTTTAAATAAAAACATCAATATCATTTCTATGTATGTCAAATATCGTTCCCAATTTAGTTCTAATTAAAACTAGCAGTTACAAAATAATAAATGGGTCAAAAGTTCCGTTTGATATTGATTAGAAAATACATCGGATACGATATCTATTATTAATAATTAAATTATAAATCACCCTAAATTGATGAGATCACATACAAAGAGGCTTTAGCTTTAATTAAAAATAAAACCTACGGTTTTAAATTTTATTTGTGTTATTTGAACTGTTTTTAATTGGTTGTTATAACCCAAACGGCAAATAGAATTAACTCAGTTAATGCAATGTTATTTATTTATCAATCAACCAGTTTAGCGAACAAATCGACTTTGTCATTGTTAAACATAATTATGTTTTCAAATTGTATAGTACCGAACGTTGCGAATAATGATTAATTATTAAATTGAAATCACCATCACACCAAAATGATTCAATTCCCATTTTTTGATAAATCCCATTTTGAGTTGATGAAATAATCGTGTTAAATTATATGAATATCACTCCTATTTGAATTTAAACGAAAATATATCTTCTACAATTTAGTTAAAGAACCATTAAAATACTTTTATAAAATATAATTTTCTTGGAATTCATAGATCTTTGAGTTTTAACGTAACAGTTGGGTTTAACGAACGCATGATAATAAGGTGTGTAAGCATAGAAAGGTTTATAATTAGAAGAGAATGTTAATTCTCGTATAGCTTCTCCTTTTTAGAGCTTCTTAAAGATTTAATAGAGGTATAAGCTCCAAAAAGAAGTTAATGTAATTTATATTTACAGAAGATTACCTACACATATATTTGCTCAAGAAAGATTTAGCTATATTAGGGTGATTCTAATTAATTGTTGGTTCTAATTGTATATAGTGAAAAAAATTAATAAGTATTAACCTTGACTCGATGTAATAAAAAAATTAGAAAGAGCAAAAAGAATTACTATAATAAGGAAGATAATAAGCAAAGGCAACAATCGGCGATAATAAATAATGAAGCAATATTCTGACTGGGAAGCGTTTATGCCATCAATTATTTTTGCTATCTGAAACAGCGCGTACAAATTAATTCTTAATGGTTGTTTTATTCATTTAAATATGTTTTGCGAAACGTTTCGGCAAGATAAACAGACTTGTCGCGTCTCTCCGATTGGAGAAAAAGCTGTAACAAACAACAAATAAGACGTGCTATATCGTTCCAAGTAATAAGAATGGGAATGATTTGATTTCCTTCGTTACAATACTACTACAACGATGATAGAGTATTTTGTTATCCGCTTCCTCAACGTATGTTATGACAAGACCCATTATCTCTCTAAAACATCCGCGAAATATACGCGCAATACAAAAACAAATCGGTTGTTGTTTAAAAAAAAATCATAAAAAACACCAATAAATTGGGCGCGTGGAAATGTCGGAATTTCTCTGCAAGATTTTTTTGGGTCCGGTTTTCTTATCAAGGTTACAAGGCTACATGTCATAGATTATAGCTGACTAGCACTGACCTCTCTTCCTCGTGCTGTGGTCCTCTGCTCCGAAAAACTCGACACCTTTTTGGAGAGTCGCGGAGTACGATAAAGCGGTGTCGAAAACGAATCGTCGAAAGAGAAGAACTAACTGCAGAAGAAGTACAAGAAGCACTGTTTAAAAAAGTAAACCGACCGAGGATAGCTACTAAAAATCGCGCTGCCGCTGGAGAGAGAGTCGCGAAACTTACGCGAAGAACATACTTCTTCTCGGCGCTGTTACTCTGGCTGATTGCGAGCTCTGTGCCACGCGTTTATTGACAAGAGTGCGAGGTCGTGGCCGACCTGTCTGTGCCGTAGAGAACTGAGTACTGGACGCGCAAATCTAGGCGGCCATGGATTCGGGTACGGGCCGATCGGTCCGATGGCTTTGGAGGAGGGATTGCGCTCTCTCGACGTGTTGTTCTCCCAGCTTTATACTCCAATCTCTCTTCTCAATAAATTTATGCCAATTTTTTATCCAAATCAACTAAAAGAAAATGAGTAAAACATTGTTTACTCTACTTCAAAACGAGGCAAATAACGTAACACGAGGCAAAATCCTATAAAACTCCTATGCAAAACTTCCTTCATCTTATGTTATGTCCACATGATTATCAAAATGAAATTTTAAATAACGTTATTATTTAATTTTATAATTTGTTTATGATATTCATATTCTTCATTACATTTTAATGGAAATTTAAAACCTTTAAGTAAATGTTAATAAATTCGCCGATCTCAGCAAATTGATCAGGAAATTTTTAGACTTTCAAGGAATTTGTTTATGTTTGAATTCGAAGAAACTGAAATGAGAATATAAACCATAACTTCCTTGCCTCCAATTACAATCACCAAGTGTACATCAAAAAATATGGCAATTATTCAAAAAAACAACGATATATCTGAGAGTCTGCATAACCAGAAAGAAAACTAAAGCAGTAATTATATCGCAGTATCAAGATCACAACATACAAAACTAGATGGAAAAAGCTTTTAAGGAACCTTAAGAGATAGACAACGATACGAAGACATCAGAAAGACATGTACATTGTTAGATGGGTCAGAAAGCGAAGAAGGGGTTGGAGAGACCATGTTGATAAATTGGCGAAACTTGAGAAAGAAAAGAAACGAGGTGCAATAAGAGGCTAGGAAAAACCACAGAAGAGAAGTTTTCCTGTGAGGAAAATGAGGTTGGGTTGAATTGAGTTGGGTTGGGTTGGATTGGATACACAGACAAAACAGGTCAGTGATGACAACGACAAAATGAAATCAGCTGCCAGAATCTGTCACGAAGTGGTACATGCACATCCACCTAGGTCTCAAACAGCGGGTATTGATCGTATTAGTATTTCTGCCGCTCGTGTATGTTTTGCTCACGAGCTGTTTTGATAGAGAAGGAAAATTGCCACTGTATAATCGACTCAGGATCAACTAGTACCAAATCTTGTTGTAGAATTCGTTGTTTTCTAGAACACATTGCTTTGTTTCCTTGATATGTGTTCCAACTCTCGACAATTTGAGCGTGGTGGTTATCTAGTTATACAGGGTGATTCAAAAACCGCTGACAGACTTCTAGGGCAGGTAATACATCAAAAATTAAGACGAAAAGTCTTAATTGCAAATGCCTCCTTAACGAGATATAGCGGGTCAAAGTTTCTTTAAAATTAAACATTATCTGCAATAAAAAGCCCTTTTTTAAAAAGTTCCTTCAATTTAGCAGTTGAACTCCTTCGGAACCCCAGAATATATTCTCTTAAGGCGGGAGTAAAAATCATTGTCAAATACGTGAAAGAAACTCTTCCCTGAACTTGAGGATTAAAATTTGTTTAACAACATGCCATGGTCCAATTATGAAACCTACCGATTTTTTACAGACATTTGGCCAACATAGGTTGGCAACGCCGCATATATGAACTATCTGAACCTAATTCTTATAATTCTCGCTCATTCTTATATATGATAATTTTAATTGCTGTTATTCTAACTGAAATAGCTATTTGATATTGCTTATAGAAATAAATAAATAAAAAAATATACACAAATTTTAAACACAGTCCAGTTTTTCATTTTAAATAAAAAATAATGAATTTACCTCGATCAGCAAATTAATTGGATAGTTTAGTTTTTACAAGGAATTTGTATATAGTTGGATACATTCTGTATTCCGAGAAACTTAAACACGCAAATAAGCACTTAATACTTTTTCCAAGAATGTAAACTTTGCCAAAATTATCGTTCTAAGATGAAAACAATATTTTCTTTTTAATGAAAGAGAAATTGATTACGAACTAAACTAAAATTACGTCATTTCTGATATAGAATTTGTGACCATAAATTATGGGATTTTTTAGGAAGTGTACGTAAATAGAAAAGATCTTTACAAAGGTGTAGCGCAGTGGGCGTAATGGTGTCATTAGTATGTGTAAATGGCTACATAAACACGAACTGGGAGTGAAAAATGAAGGGCAAACACAATGATGCTTTGAAGAAATACGACCATAGTAAATATAAAAGTATCTGTTTCGAAAGAAGTATTAAAAAAAAAGTGGATAACAAAATAAAGAAGAAATGTCCTGTGTGAAGTCTCCGACTATCCAGTATCGGACTAAGAACAAATGTTCATTAACGTGGTGCACACACGCAAAGGCATAATTAACATTATAATTAAAAGTACGTACCAGCGCCGACGCGTTAACTGTTTTTGAAAAGCTGTTTTTGTTGAATTTGACGTGGACAAGGGAGCGCTTATCACAAAAATTCGTATCACGCACCAAAAGCTTATGGAAATGTATGCAAAGCGCTATCCCATACGCATATACTTAAAAGTTCCGCAATATGTATTATCTGTGGTATAATTCCAAGGAATATTTCTATTAATACTCTATTTATTATTTATGTTAATGCAATTTTAACGTTTAATTAATATTATTAACTGAATATGTCAAATTTTAGAATTCCATTAAAATTATCTGTTAATAATGTTCAATACTTCTTAGCCTCAACGAGATAATTTTACCTTTAACCAGATATTACCAATATTCGTACTCTAAATAAATTTACATATACTCGACATATAAATATTAACACCAGACACAGTGTACATAATCTACGCCACGCAATAACCCTATAATTATATGTTTGTGTTGCATGTTGTAGCAAAACAATTATACAGATGATCAGATACGTTGTGACGGCTTAAACACGGAAATGGATTTCAGAAACTTAGTGTCCAAAAAAAAAATAAACAAACGCCGTATAATTTTCTACTTTCAGGAAAACGCCTCGCGTTAATTGTCGCCGATATGACGCAGTTTCAAGTTCCCAAGTTCAAATGTGTGTACAAATCGTTTTAGTATTGAAGCGGCGTAACTACTTTGCAGCGCTTGAATCGCGTGCGACTGTTTGTTTTCGCACGACGTACTGTTTGCTTACATTTCTTAATGTTTACTTCTCAATGCTTAACTGCCAGTTGTGCTATTCACTACCCTGTCTTCAAAGCGAAAATATACTACGCTTAGATGACAATTGGAGATTTCAAGTTTAAAACATAAAAGACAGATTTATCAAAGCTGTTTTGGAAACGATAAATCTCGGACAAAAATTTTAAAATTTACATGTACATGAATAATAAAAGAAAATTTTTATAAGATTGGATTGAAGCGATGTACTTCACAAAATAAAGTTCACGTGTTCCACCACGAAGGCTACGTCAATATTTTTGCACGACGTTTGTGTATTGGACAGGTCGGATGGAACGTTCCATATAAAAATACGGTTCATTGAGTCGAAGTGATCGCCAACATACCGCGAACTGCCCACAGGATCATATCTTTCATATCTATACATTGAAAAGAATAATTGTACAAAATGTCCAAAGCATTTTTTTACAAACATTGTATATAGGTGTTTCAAAAGTATACATGAAAAAAGCTTAACTTAAAACGAAATGAAGGATTAATCTTTTTTTTAATCGGTTCCACTTTTTTGGTTGTAACTTTTCTTTTTTTTATTTTCTATAGACACTCACTTTTCAGAAACGTTTTTGAAACACTTCGTTTTTATGCAAACAAAATTATATTCACCTAACATACATTGTGCGAAAGAATACTTAAATAATTGTAAACAAAAAGGGTTGGTTTTCATGGATCTTTTAAGAATAATGGGATAATACAGAAAACATCTATGGTTCAGATGTCTATCAATTAGTGGAGCAGTAGCGCATGAAGTAACATTTCTACCATCTGTATTTTGGGCTGATCTAATATCGCAGCTCCTCGGTCGTAAGCAACCTCAGTTAACCTGCAAGAACGTAAAAACAAATTACCAATAATAGGTAACAATATCTGGTTTCCCTCAAAATCAAGAACATCGCACCTTATTTTCATTATATATTTTCTTATAGTGTACTCATTTTTTTTTCCTGGCTTGCATATATTGAGTCTTTGACGCTTACCTTAAGCTTAATATCATTCACATTACCTTCCTCATAACCTTATTAATCTTTCTCGATTACAATTTATTCTACAATTTTTTCATTCCCTTTCTCTCACATCTCTTCGTTTCTACTTCAACCAGTTGATAGATCCCAATGTATTTTTTTTCCAAACTTGTTTTACCAAATCAATTCTCTTGCTCCCCATAAATAGGGCAAGGATATCTCCTTGCCCTATTTATTCCGTATTCTTACAGGCACAAGGAAAATACTATTTTGGAATGTGGCGGTGATAATAAACAAGGAAATCTTTTTGGAGGTATGATGTGTTTGGTTTGGTTGAGAAAAGCTAGATGAGAAAGGTTGGGGAAGGATTAAGGGGCCAATACCAGACGGACATGAAAGAAATTGACAATTTTCCGAAAGAAAGGTTGCTTACAAACCTGAATAAAAGTTTCATCTTGTTTTCTCTCAGTAATATTCATCAAAATTTAAAATTTTGTATAGGTATATGCTAGCGTGATATGAACAGAACGAGATATTACGTTTTCGGGATTCTATACCTTCGCGAAAAACCATATTTTTTCCAAAACTACGCTACCTCAAATACGGATTTCAACGAGGCTTTGATGGAGTTACCTTGTGCGGTATCGAGTTGAGCCACTAAAAACTATTTTCAAAATAAAAATTTTTCATTTTTCGAAGCTTTCGATGGATTAGTCGAGTATTATTAATTAATTCTTGCGTAACGAATCAATAACGATTTTTTTTAACTTTGGATAACTTGCGCTAAATCGTAGTAACATGCATTTGCCACATAATAATCAGTACATACTCCATGTTTAAAATGAAATATGTCGTCGTTTATAAATAAATAACTT